CTATTCTGTTCTTAGTATAATAGAACTAGATTATTGCAGTATTTGGTACTCCATTGAAAAGATCTTGATAAATAACAAGTTTGGTAGCAGATTCAAGTTCCTACGATATGCCTGCCATACAGTCTGAAGAATGAGATTGATCCAACGTTTACCCTATTTTCGAAGATACTCATTGGGAAATGTGATTCAAAAGCTTTTGACCAGGCCGGCAAAAGCGTGAGCCGTTTGGGCCCTGATATCTACTGTTGTTCATGTCTTTACTTCTCCACGTGTTTTTCTTGAATGATGCAACACAATAAGAAATTAGTAGTAGCAGTTTGAAATTGCATCCATAAAATTTCGTATGATGATCATAAAGGAACGTACCCATATATTTTCTGAGGATGTTCTGAACAGGATCAAGAAACCTTTTTCTCGGAACGAAAATAATGTACTCAAAATCTTCCAAACAAAATTTTCTTCTGAGAGGAGGGCGCCTGAAGACTTCTCAGTCATACAAATTTTTTACGTTCCTGCTACTATGTCAATGAGATCTGACTGAATTTTTACAGCTTTTGTTTTTACTTCTATCAGTTTAATCTGTGTTATCTTACTCACTCAATATTTGTCGAATAATGGTTGAAGTTTATTTCACGCTTTAGCACACAGCCCTCGAACTTGGAATTATGTTACTGGATATAAGTCTTTCTAAAAGATAATAAATATGATTCTATTGAATGAATAGAATAAATGTATTATTATTCATGCTCGATTCAAAACTCTTTTTGCGTATTTCAAGATTACTTTTAATTATTTTCATTGCTACATGTCCACTAATAAATATAAGATCATCATCTAATCGATTTAAATAATCATACATATTTATTTACCGTTGGATACAGCTGACCAAGCACACATTTCTGTAGTTAATAGTACATCAACAGACAAACCATGTACAGTATCTACAGCAGCGACTGCAACAGCTCTAAGACCATCGTCTAACATTGAAACACCAGCAGTAGCTATACCTACTGCAGTCTTAACAACCATTGAAGATACATTTTTTACTTTCTCTCCACTTGAAACATTACTAAATTCAAACGTGTTTTTTAAAGCTGATGTTTTAAAACCAGGTTCATCGATTTCAATTTTGAATTCTTTTAAATAGTCTTGAAATTTATTTGTTTCACCAGTTCACCATTTTATAAGATATGAACGAGTATTAACACTAAAATTTTGACGAATATGTTCGCGTGCAAAATATCTCGGAATTAAATCCAGAAATGACACAACAGCAGCAAAATCTGCCAATACTTTATATTTCATTACTTTCAAAATATAACCACAACGAAAATAAATATTAATTACTCGAGCTACTGCATACGCAGATATTTGTTGCAGACGATTCTCGTGAAAACCTAATGGTAAATCTTTAATATCATTGATTAATTTTTCAAGATCGAATTTTACATATGATAGTATGGATGAATTCTGATCACGAGTATCATCTATGCCTGAGATAAATATAACATATATATTTGATAATTCGTTTCCATTATTGTCAGAAAGGGTAAGTTCTCGAACTCGTTTCATTATTTTTTCTCTATACATCCTCCTTATAGTGTCATCGGATTATTAAAATCTTGAGCAATATCTTGTTTAAATATTCTGATAAATAGTTCGTCTACTTTACTTCGTACAATGTAACACGTACGATTCATATGGGTTATAATATATTGTTGCCATTTACGATGGACATCTGTAAAACTATGTTGAAAAACAATAATATACAAATCACAATCTTTTCTTGTATAGACATCGATGGATGAAGAGAGTATTATGTCAAAAAGCTGTTTTGATTGAAAATTAAT